TTTTATTGTAGAGACTGAGATAAGTCATCATAAAATCAGACCACTCCAGATTTGCTGTGGTTTGGCATGCCACTGTTATCAAGAACAAAGCTATAGGAAAACAGAGCGCTTCAGAATGTCTCCTTCCAAACTTCCCATGTACTTGGGTGTTACCCAGAGATGGTAAACTCAGAAATTGCTGTGCACTCATCATTTTTTATTGCAAAATTCATTAAGCTGCCATGCTATTATCATCCTATCTTGTCAAGATGATACATTACAGACTTCATTGCAAAACTTTCAACAAGCAGGAGAAAGTATACCTCTCTCCCAGCCACAGTTCAGGAAAGCCTTGGATATTTTGCTTATGCCTTCCTACTTTTGGTAGAAAGCTTTGTCTTTGCAAACCTCTTTCTCATAACTCCCTTTTCTCCTCCTTTGATCAGGTAAAGAAAAAACTTCTCCCTTTGGCTCTGTGAGGTGTCATGGGTTGGCGTTAAACAGTCCTCTTCCCTCTTGTCTTGACCTTTTCTCCTGAGTATGTCGGAACAGTGACATATTAGCCTGAATTCTCACAGACTTCCACACCCAATAGGAAACCTTCTCCAAAGTGATGTTGAAGATCTGTGTTTCATATTTACGCTGCAGTTCTGTGTATTCAGTGGGCCAGACGTGCTCAGGCCTGCCAAGATGTGTGAGTTTGGCTTGGCTGTTGTGTGCTTTCCTGGCCTTGCCTCTGGCTTCTGTGATAAACAGAACCTGTCTCCCCTATGTGATGGAGTTGCCATTAAAGCGAGTAGGAGTCACTTGGTAAATATGGAAAGTGAAGTACTTCAGCTCCCAGATTTCCATGGCAACCCCCAGAACAAGTACAATATCACCAAAATTATTCTGTGGTTTTCCTTTTTTAGTTGCAATGATTTGGTTGCATACTCATGTTTTCCACTCCTGATTTGTACAGAAAATAAAAATGTTGCTCACTGTCAGCAGTACTTTGGTTTCAAGGACATTAATGGTCCCTTTCTGAAGCACCTGAAGATCTCAATGAAACTACCGCTCTCTGTTCAACCAAAAAATGATTGCAGATTATTCTCGTATTTATTTTTTATTTTATAGCTGTGCAGCTTTGGTATATGTGATGCATGGGGCAGGCACCAGAAATGTATGGTAAGCTTTGACCTTACCAAGTCACTTTAATGGATGCCTGTGACCAGGCAATATGTGCCCACCCTTGAGTAGTAGTTTGCATCCTTGAATACCAAGTTCACATCTGGTTTGTCAGCATTAAAATACATGTTCCCAAAAGCACCTAGTACATTACCGATGCATACTTATAATGGTTTCAGGATTTATTTTATCATTTCCTTGTTTGGGGACTCTTGTTTTATGCTGTGTGTGTTTTTATTGACTAATATAAAGAGATATTCGTGTTGACAAACATGTTTGTGAAAGCCAAGCATTCTCACTGACTACAGCCTGTTCCAAGCACTCCTGAGTAGTGGACATTCTTTTTCTTTTTGTCATTTAATTGGTTGCTATGATCTTGATTTGACTCATAACTGGTTGTTGTATTTCTTTGAAGTCTACTAGCCTGTAATTTTTTTCCCCTAGAAACGTAATTGCCATCAGTCCTTCCTATACCTTCTAATGAGGATGCCAGAGTTGGACTGATTCATCAGTGACTCAGTGAAGTCCAACTCCGTTATTTGAAGATTTGGTTTATTTTTATTTAAACAAGTCCTCTGAGCTGCCTGTACTGCTTTTCTGTTAGGAGCAGGTACTTATTTGCCCCCAGGACAAAAAAAAAATCCTCTTATTTTGAATGACCAAATTGAACCATTTTTCTCTGTATTTCTAAATTTATTCCAAATTCTTAAGAATTTGTCTTGCTATAGTTTGCCATAACATTAAAACATTTGGTTTGCTTCTGGTTGTATTCTCCACCCCTTCTTTGAAGTAAACTTTACCCTCTCCCTCTATCACTGTCGGGACTGTCAGTATCTCAGCTTAGATCTTCTTCCCAGGAGTTCTTCTCATTCGCTGAGATCACAGATGAGGAGAGTCACCTCTACCAAACGGTAACAGTCTTGTAGCCAGGGAATGCCAGATTTCTTGATTTCCTTGTCATGTAGTCCATCTAGGGATACCAGTAAAAAAAAAAAAATCTGCCTCTTCAGATGCATATTTGACAATCTTGACTATAAAGTTGTGAAATTTTATGATACATATTTTGTATGTTTTTCTTGGACAAATAACTCCTTTCTTTGATCTTTTTCTTTGGCTGTTCTTTTGTTATAGTATGGGTTATGCATCTGTGAAAGAATATTTAAAATTTTATTTATTAAAAAAAGAATATTAATGTCCTATAGTAAATGAAATACTAGAAATCTGCAAGCTCTATTTGGGTGTAGACATTTGTTTTATTCTGTTGACTTTTCTAGTCTGTACATCGAGGGTCAAATCCTTGTTTTCTACCAGCCTCCCTTTTTCTCTAGCCGGCTTCTGCCAGACAGACATGCTATGTTCCTTTTGCTGTAGCCTTCCCCATGAGCTCATCGAGTTACCCAGTTTTTAATATGGTAGCAGTAGACATTTTCATTAAGACAGCATCTAAATACAGATTTTGGAATCATTTTATGAAAATCAGGATTATGATAACATATCTTATAAAGCAAAACATTTTTATATAATGTTACTTTAAATTTGGTTTCAAGGTTTGGTCGTAAATCGCTTATAGTCCACTAACAATTGACAGATATGTGCAAATTGATACTCAAATACATTTATAAATAATATACAAAAACACAATGTAGAGCTCTTAAATATCTAATAATCTTGTTTGCTATTCCCTAAGTTCTCAATAAACATTCATTGAATTAATGAAAAGTAAGGAAGTTTCATTTCAGATATTTATTCTTTCTAATGAATAATAATAGAGAGGGAGAAGTAGCCTGATAAGATTTTAGAAAAACTAATATACTTTTAACAAGGTATTATTTTAGATTTGTAGGGTCTTAACCTTTTCATGGACAAGTGAATATAATCACAAGAGATATGTGGACTGTAGTTTTTCTCTTCTGTTACCGGAGAAGTAAAAAAATTAATTCATGCAAAGTTGGTTCTTCAAGCTTCTCAAGGTAGAATCGATAAAACTATTCACCTCTCTTCACATGTGAAGCAGAAGGTGTCTTCAGCTGAGGGCCAGCAAAGAGCTGTCTTCACTCTCCTTTGTGTGGCTCAACTCTGGGCTCTTTACAGTTTTTCAGGAATGTTGGCATGAACATTTTGTGCAAAGGAGACTTTTACTTATGCTAACAAACACTAACAGGTGCTACATTCATTCTCTCGGTGGTTCTCTAATTATAAATTTTGAGGGTTATTTCTCTTTCTTGTGGCAACTTCTGGTTCACAGGCTCTGTTAGTCTTCCTGCGCAACATTAACTCTTACAGTTTCTCTTTCTGTCTCATCGTTTCTGTTTGAAATTTAAACCCTTAAATTATGACTAGCTCTGAACTTCAGTAATAACAGTGGTGATATACTGGATTTTTTTTTTTTTCAAAATCTACATAGAGTTTAGAAATCTCCCAATAGCCTCACAGGATTTTTATATTTTCTTTGGGTCTTTTGTAACATGGAATTAAGAATTTGCCAAGATATTAGGTGGTATTGCAGTGTGAGTGTGCATATTTAATGTGAAGATTATTTTGATATCATTCCATAAACACAGTTTGTTTTATAGACATGACGAGTGCAAAAAGAAAAGTAGTTCTTATGACATCATCACCTTTATTGGTGAAAGTGACCTGAGTACAAATATTGACCTCTGAATTGCCAGATCAGTGATTCCGGTCTGTCCTACAGATACACTACACCTCTAACTTGTCAACAAGGCCCGGTCAGAATTGACCCACACTTCTTTCTTGACAAGTGAACCATTTGCCAGAACACTCGTTGGTTTCCATATGGTGCATCTGTAATGAGTGAGGCTGAAGCAGGACGCAGGAAGTCTGGGCCGTGCTGCTGCGACAGTGGTGCCCGTGCCATTTAGCTAAATCTCCCCCTGAATGTTTCTTCAGTGTGTGGTTCCAAGTTTTTGAAGATGAGAAGAGACAGAAAGTTCTTTTCTTTGAGCAGTATTCTAAAGTTTACAAAACACATTCCTGCAAATTCCACTTGATCCTCTTGACAGCGCCACAAGCTGTGCTAGGCGGCCCCCGCTTCTCACGTTGTAGATTCATTAACCAAGAATCTGAGATCAAGTGGGAATTGCCCGAGGCCACACACCCAATCAGGGCTGGATTCTTGAAGAGAACTCTGGTTTTCTTTCTCCTGGCTTCCTAAGATTCTCCTAGCACGCATATGACCATTTGGACCATAGACTTAGTTTTTTATTTTGTACATGCAGACTGCTAGGTAGGCTCTTACAGTTCTGTCACAGAATTAACGTGAGGTTGGACCTCAAATACATGAAGTTAGATACAGCAACAAGGGTACGTCTGGGGTGGGGTCAGGCATTTAGACTTTGAGTTATAACGGAGTTAGTTGATGGCCAAATAGACATCCTGTGGCGAGGTGCTGTAGAACTGGAGGTAGTTCATAGCCGGGAACTATTAAAGGCAGGACTTTTGTAATGAAAGGTGAGTGTCATAGAAGCCAAGGCACTGTGGCTAAACGCAGGTGGTCTTTACAGATTGCTCTGTGTTGTGACCATCCACTAAAAGATGGCACAACTTAGGTGCAACAGTAGGACCACTCTTAGAAAAAGGGCTGGTGAAGTTTTCATCATCTCCAAGGGAAGGTGTTTCCTGTTGAGGTGAGGAAGAGTTTTTTCTCTAAAATTTCATGTCAGCTATTCCCTTTTGGCTCTTTGTTTTCCACTACTAGTTATTATTCTCTCATGCATCTTTTTTAAGCATTAGAAATCTCAGTGAAGGCTCATTATTTATAAATTTTGTATCTGTAGAAAGAAGATATCCCTATGCAGTATTAATACAGGGCTTGTGGTCTTTTTTCCCCACAGAGGAACAGAGGAACAGCATTATCAACTCCAGTCTGGAATCTGTCTCATCAAATGCAAACAGCATCCTTAATTCCAGCAGCAGCTTACAGCCTAATATGAACTCCAGTGATCCAGACCTGGATGTGGTCAAACCCACCCGGCCCAACTCACTGTAAGTATGATGTCCAGCTGCCTCAGGTCTCCGGTGGCCATTCTGCAAGAATCTACTCCCTGGGTCCATCCGACTTTGAGCCATTTTCCCATGACTGTGATTTAAACTTCTGCCAAATGTGGAGCCTGGCTGGCTTGCTGTGGAATTTTTAAGTATCATCATCTCCAAGGGGAATCACTATTACTAACCTGCTGCTTCTTGGCCTTGGTCACCTTTGGTTTACTGTCTTGCTGAGATGGCTTTGGTGATGGCTATTGCCTGGGCTGGCTGCTGGGCATGAAAAGCAATTTCTTATAGTTTTACGAACACCAGGGACTGTGGCAGCTTAGTAGATCAGTAGCCAAGTCCATCGAACTCATTAATGTGGTCTCAGTTTCCTTTCTCCTGACTACATTAGGAACATTCAGTGCTACCTCTGTGCCTCCTTCCACAAAAATAGGCTCATTTGCCAGGCATGGTGGCGCATGCCTGTAATCCCAGCACTCAGGAGGCAGAGGCAGAAGGATCGCTGTGAGTTCGAGATCAGCCTGGGCTACATAGTGAGTTCCAGATCAGTCTCAACAACATAGTGAGACCCTGTCTCAAAAAAACAAAAACAAAAAAAAAAATACAGTGAATGCTGTTGAAGAGTGCCATTCAACAGAAAGGCATTACAGTGTGTCCTCATCCACTTGATTCACTGTATCTAGAAATGTGACACTAAAAAAAAAAAAAAAAAAAAAAAGGCCCAGTTGCCCTTTGTGTGTCTCTGCAATCTCAAACCTTAGTGTGACTGTGATCTCTCACTAGAGACTTAAAAAGAGCTCTCGATACTTCAGTTTGGACCCTGAGAACCCATAGTCAAAATAGGCATTTTTGGGACTGATTGTTCAGGGCCCCTTCAGAAATTATTCTAAAGGGGCCAGAAAGTTCTCTCTTGTGGCTCCAACCTTCATTGCTTAGCATGCTTCTTCAGGCCACACAATAAATCTTGTCAGTTAAAGCCTTTGCGAAAGAACGTGAGGCCATGACCAGAACAATTGGACTCAGTTTACAACTATAGAAGAGTCAGGAAAAAACCATATTGACTTTGCCTTTCTCTGGTGAAAATAGTTTGATGCTCAGCCCCAGACTGTCTTCAGGCGGTTGTTGCCCTTGGTGAGACACTAGCATGCGGGTGAGATACCACGAGGACAGCAACGTTTTCCTGCCCTTCTTTGTTCTTGGGTCATAGGCTAGTGCCTTGCCGTTCCATCTCTTTAGGATGCAGTATTTATATATCTGTGAAATGAGTGGAATGATTTTTGCCTTATAACAGACTAAGGGATATTAAATGCTTGAGGGGAAAAATACTCCAAAATGTATAAAAGAGGCACTTATGATGAAAATGTAGCTATGATGTAACTTGAAATCTTAAACTGAGGAAATCCGATCTCTTTTTAGTTCTTGGCAGCTTTTAAATTGTACCAGCGTTCAGGAAGTTTGATCACTTGCCCATAACGTTTTAGCTCACCAAAGCTCAGAATTTCGGGTTTGTCCAGTTTGTGGGCAATAAGTCCCTTCTGGTTTTTCATTACCGGATTGGCCTACAGAGCCTCCTGGCCTTGGCAAATGCTTTCTTGGGTTCTTTTATACCTGTTTTCCTGGACTTTAAGGAGATTCTTTTTTACCCCCTCCATTTGGTTTAAGTCTTTGTACCTAGCAATTGCTAAAGTTATTTGTTGCTCAGCATGGGCAGAGTTGAACTTCTAGACTCTGTTGCTTCAGATTCCCTGATTTTAGCCAGCCAATACCAACCAGTGGTCTTTAATCTCTGTTTTTAGTGGCTGGCTGCTGTGAGCCCCTGAGTCACTGCTGAGAACAGTGTGTTCCAAGAGGTTGTTTAGGCAGCTAAGTGAAGGCGGGGGCGGGGGTATATCTTTTAAACAGGTCCTGGAGGAAAATCTTTGAATTTTTTATTTTTTGAGTAGCTGCATGGGATTGTTTTTTACATATAGTACTGAGGATCACTGCCCACTTCACCTGGGACAGATTTGGGGTGCTTTCCCAAGAAGGGAGGGTGACCTGGGAATAGTTCTACTTATTTGTCTCGTCTGGAGGAGGGCCTCTAGAGTGCGAGTTTGCTTCCGACAGGACTGCTATCCCCAAGCTGAGTGAGTCTGACTGACACCTGCGAGTCTTAAGGTCAGGAAGGGCTGTCTGTGAGTTAGAAGCAATTTTGATAGCAGAATTGGAACCAGCGCAATCCCCTTGTCCTTGAGTGAGGCACATGCCAGAGCCTCCATAAGTTTTGCAAACAGACTCCGTGGCCATTGCTAAAATCCAGAGCATTTTTCTGGGTTCCATTCTCCCCTGTGTTTCCTGCCTGGGGTTTGCCTGGTGGACCATGAATGGGAGTTAGGCATGCCTGACAAAATAGACCTCCTAGTGCCTTCCCTGAGAAAATGAATCCTGAGAAGCCTGAGAGCACACTATGCTATGGTGCTGGAATTAAGCAAGACCTTAGTCCTGAATCCATTCATTCTCTACACCATTGTTCAGTTTGAGGTGTTCAGAGATCCTTAAATGGGAACACTTGATGGACACAAAAACAAAGGCTACCATTAGCTATTAATTAGGCATAAAGAACCAGTCACCAGGAAACTACCTATTCTTTTTATTTTGTTCGTTATTTTTCATGAGGAAAGAAATTTGCTACTCGTGATACTTTGCTGTATCATTAGTAAGTCTTCTAGGACAGTGATGGCAAACCTTTTAGAGAGCTTTTAGTGATAGAAATAGCCTGCTTTAGCATACCTGCCATAGGCTCACCACCATTTCAGGAGATCAGGGCCCTCTTGTTTGCATGAGCATGAAACTAAATCAAACATCAGAATCAGAAATGCTGCCATTCTACCCATGCCATGGCATGGCTGCCATATTTAATTCTTTGGCAGGTCCTTATCTACACTCCTGGAATAGCTGTCACTCCTAAAGATCAAGGGACAGTTAGTAAGCTGGGACCAAAGTTCGTCTGATCTGAAATTGTCAACAGGTCTTGCTGAATATCTTTTTTGCCCAAATCTGTGCTAAGCTACCTTGGGTAAAATAGATTAAGAGAATTCCTGCCCTTCCTGAGTTTATAATCTGGCTGAGGAAAGACAGTGGGACAGAGCAGTGCTAAATGGGTCTCATAATTCAACAGAATGTTCAGAGTTCAATATCAGTGGTATATCTGTGAGTACACATACCAGGTCAGAGGGTTGGGCAAGGTGAGGCGGATGAACTGTGGTATTAGAGAAGATTTAGACAGGTGAGAGAAGAGCCTTCTAGGTAAGGGAATAAGAGGTAGCAATGATCCAGGATAAATACGTGAAGCTCAGAGACATGTGTATTGGAGGAGGGAGTTAACCATTAATAGCAAAAACACAAAAACAAAACTTGAGCCAACTTTTAAAAGCAGGAGACTTCATATGAAAATCCACATTTCATGCTGAAACAACTGGACATTCACATGCAAAAACGTGAATCCAAACATGGACTAGATGTTTTTCACCAGATTAACTCCAAATAAATCATAGGTCTAAATGTAAAATTCAAAACTACTGATACTGTAGAAGATTATGTAGGATAAAACCCAGGTGACCTTGGGTGTGATCACTTTTTAGATATAACACCGAAAGCATAACCTGTGAAACAAACACACAAAAAATTGGTAAGTTGGGTATCACTTAAATTAAAAACTTTTACCCTGTGAAAGAAACTGTTAAGTTAATCAAATGATAAATCACAGCCTAGGAGAAAACGTGTGTAAAACACGTGTCTGTGAAAGGACCAGTATCCAAGATGTACAGAGAACTCTTAATATTTGACAATAAGTAAACCAGTAACATACTTAAAAAATGATCAAGAAATCTGAATAGATATCTCACTGAAGAGATTTACATTGCAAATATGCATATGCAAAGATGTTCCACATCACAGGTCCCCAAAGAAGGGAAAATTAAAACAGCATAGGATACTCCACACATTAGAATGGCCAAAATCCCAGATCACTGACAATAGTAAACGTTGGCAATGACTTGCAGCTACCCTCTCACTCACTGCTGGTAGGAAGACAAAGTGGTAGTCACTTTAGAAGATAATTTGTTTTTTTTCTTATAAAATTAAGCATACTTTTACCATCCAATCCAGTAGGCATGCTCCTTGATATTTTCCCAAACAAATTGAAAACCTATGACTGTACACAAACATCCACATATATTTTTTTTGGGTAACTTTATTCATAATTACCAAAGCTTGGAAGCAATCAGTGTGTCTCTCAGTAGATGGAAGCAGGTGAACTGTGGTATAATCCAGACCATGGACCATTACTTATCATTAAAAAGAAACAAACTTTCAAACTATGAAAAAACAAAGAGAAAACTTGAGTTCATATTACTAAGTAAAAAATATCAATCTGGAAAGAAATGTAACATGGTACGATACCAACTAAATGACTCTTAAAAAATGCAAAACTTGGGTTAGTACAATGATCAGTGGCTGCCATGGATTCAGAGAGAGGGGAAGAGAGATGAACATGTAGGATGCAGGAATTTTTTAAGGCTGTGAAACTGTGCTACGTGGTGGATGCGTGAAATTATGACTTTGTCAAAAACCAGTAAAACGTATACAACACTAGAACACAAAGAGACCTACTGTAAACTATGGTCTTTAGTTAATAATAATATGTCAGTATTGGTTCATCGGTTGTAATGTACCATACTAATGTAAGACATTAGTAATTGGGGAAAGTTAGAAGGTGAGAGAGAGGAGGTATATGGAAACTTTTTTGCATAATTTTTCTGTAAAACCAAAACTGCTCTAAAAAATAAAGTTATTAATATACTTTTCATGTCTAGGTTTCCAGCTCTTTTTGAAAGGTAGAAGATGCAGCTTCATGAATGCTATTGTGTTACTTGGTTAGGAGAGGGTGTCTAGTCCCCACCCTCTCTCACAGGCTTGTGTTACTCCTTTGGACTTTCTCCCTGCAGTGCTGCAGG